ATACCCTCCAAGTTTAAACAAAAGATGATTGAACACAAATGCAATATCTGTCAAGGTATTGCAGAAGATTATAGTTTTGGGCATGCAACAACCAACCTCTTTTATCATTGCAATGAGCCAGTCTAGTTTTTCATGCATTTTGTCTCTGGATGTTTTGACCACTGAAAAACGCAGGTTTTCTCGGTTTGGGCTGATAAAAATTTTGGTTAGGTATACCATCAGCAATTCTGCAGTAATAATCTTTTGAGTATGCATATCAGCAGTTCCAGTGAGAGCTGGTATGGGAACATCTGACAATAAAAAATGTTTATGAACTATCATGTGCATTTGGTGACTCTGCAGGTCTTGGTGGCACTCCGGTTTCTATCTTTGAGACTTTTGGTGAGGACTGTACTCGGCCCACCTGGTTGAACTTCGTGGCTCTTTCTGATTCAGCAGCCATCGCAGAGCTCATTACTTCAATTAGCTCTTCACAGCCACTGATTCGTTCTTAAGGAGTGGCCTCATTTTTGCCCGAAGATTTTCATCGGCAAGGCCAGTTTCTAGGGCATGCAAGAATAGGCCATGGACAAGCCCTTCATCATATTTGATCTTGGTATCCGATTCTTTTGATACAAACACTATTTTTTGCCGAATCGTCAGGGCACAAATTAAAAATTCTTGTGGACTTTCTTTTGGGGCTTGACTGATATTAGCCAAGAGCTGGTAGAGCTTGGTAGCACTTTTCTCTTGGAAATGAAAGCGTAGTATTTTACGTAATCGTGGTAATGTCAACCCATTTATTCCCTCCAAATAACTTCATAGTTGTAAACCAGCCTGAACAGCTCTAACAACAGCATGGGTAATTTCCTCTTCTGTGTAACCCTTTGCAGCCCAATTTCAATCTGTGAAATGAGTGACTGATATGCTAGTTTATCTTTATGCCCTGGCTCTCCGATTTGTCCTTGTATCTTGAATTCCCGATGGAGCATGCTTGTTTTCATGTTAAGAAATGCACTTTGTGGCTTATCTTGTTGTGTTACTGATTCACTAGTTATAGTTATGTCCTCAGTTGTTTCATTTTGGCTTTGGACAGTATTTATTTGATCTTTTAGTTTTTCCTGCTCTACTAGTAACTTTTCATACTGTGTTTTGAGCTGTTTCAGTCCCTGTTCACTCTTTTCTTTTGCTTTCATACTTTCCTCATTTTGACTCATTGTTTTGCTGTCTAAAATAGTTTGTATTTTTCCCAATAGACTGTCAAGCTGCTCGCTATTACACTTAAGTACGTCTTCAAATACTGTATGTATAATTTTAATCAGTTCTAACCTACCCTTTTCTCCAATTTCTTCTACCTTTATCCATTTCATTTCTTCTCCAAATCGGGCTAATTCCATTCGTTTTAAGCCCAGCATACGAGACTGAAGCTCTACAGGGTGTATAAAAAAAACTGAACAGATTTAAAATTGCTCTCAATTTCGCAAAACAGCTATTTGTATCTGGTTTTTTATATATATAGCTTCTTTGGGTACTTATAATGTAAAATAATGAAAAAAATTTCTCGAACTCAAATTTTGTGAACCAGGGGGGTGTGTCTTTTCCAACAAACTAAAAATGGCTCGCACACAAAATTTAAAAGCTGTAATCATATTTTGAGTTAACAGATGGAAAATTTGTCAGGATTTTAATTACTGTACAAAATTTCAGACAATTTGGTTTAGTTTAAGCCACTTAACTATTCACGCAAAGTTACAATTGTCTGTTGCCCATATCCGGCTTGCCAGGGGCTGCCCCTGAACATGGGCATGCCACGCCCTTGTTGTTGATCCAAATAATAATGTATGTGAAGTGAAGTATGTATGCTGTCTGAAATGTAGTGTCGCTATCACCTTACCCTGTTCAAATGGCACTGGATCGCACGTGTCATTCCTTAAAAGAATTTTCACGTCTCCGAAGGATTTCGTTTGAACAGGCACGTATTGTATGTTGGTGAACGTTTTTGTAATGATATCACCATACTTTCCTTCGACGGGAATGCTTCGAAGTAATTGCGCACTCGTATCTCCAACAATCTGCGGCTGAATGATGTTGCAATATGTGTAGATCGATGTAATGGTGGCCAGATCTGTAACGTAGGGACTTTCGCGCATTTTGTAAATTTTTACCTCTTTTCCGCCGAATCCCAGGATGAGGGACATTTTGCCAAATAGTAAAAGTTTGCATTTGGGCTTCAAGTGAACGGTCACTTTTCCCGTCAGAGTGCTGTACGTTAGGTATATGGCAGTACTATTACAAATTTCAAGTTCCAAAGCGGCATTCATGTCTTTAACAAAATCTTGCATGGTTTCATAGTGTCCATACTTCACGGTTGCCACCGAAGGCCATCCAGTGCCTTCAACATAATAGAAGTGCGTGTCCACATTAATATCTCGTAGAGTATACCAGGTGTTTGGGTAAAAAATGGAATACAGTCCGACTTACCAATTGCCGTCCAACTCAACGGGTTGCGGTAATTTTACACGATATTCGGTCATTTTGTTATCGGGAAAAATGTCCAGGGACGCATTGCTCGGAAGCGTAAGGTGAAAGTGTGTTCCACTCATTATGAATCCCCAATGAGAATAACAAACAAACAGCACGTTCAACGGTTTAAATCTTATTTATTTCAGAAGCGGGTACCCACAAATTAAATTTATTGGGGTACCCTAACCATTTTATAGGATAATTAGCCTGCATGGCAGGCGGTATTTAGGAAATACCGCCTGCCGCAAAACTGGGTGTAAATGAACTACCGCCCCTGAAGCATCAACGCTATTTATAGATGCATTAATTAAGTAAATATTCAAAATTAGCCACTCCCAAGGCCCAAGCTGCTCCCAAGTCCCAACTGCCCAACATAAAATAAATTCCTTGATTCTCATCACCGCCCGACTGAATTTTAAAATCCTCGTGAAAACGTTTTATATTTCGTTATACAATATAAATGTACCGCCCAACAAAATAATTCAAGACAGTTAATTTTTTCGTATTTTATATAGAGTTTTTATTGCCATTTTAAACTTCCAATTTGAAACAAACAGAATTTTGAGTGAAATTTCATTGTATTTTAAAGAAACTCAGTCATTCTGTCATTGTTTGTGGAGATACGAACTATTGATATATAAATTATATAAATATAAAATATAAAAAATAAATCTCCCATTGTCTTCGACATTTCAAAGTGTAGACTGTGTCTAGTGATGAGAATCAAGGAATTTATTTTATGTGTTAATATAAACCAAGCCCGTTTAGCTGCCTTAAAACGGTGGTTTAATAAGCTCAAAATACAAAGCATGCAAGTCTACACTATAGATTCATCATCAGTCAACAACCAAACTGAAAGTATTGAACCTTATAGAATGATAGTTTTTATTTGTTTACAACTATACATATTCAACGGGTATATAAGAGTTTAACTGTTATTTGATAATTACTGCATCAACCGGCCCCTTGTTTATACTTTGGAGGTTCATATATAATATCTATCAAGTATCTTTGGTTCAGAACATGATAGGCCTATATGGAAATCCCACTGTTCGATTCAGTGAAGAAATATCTCCTAATTTCTATCGATAGTTTTAGTAAAATGTGAACATTATTGCGATTTATGGCCTTTGAAAGTCAAGCGAGATTGTTTATTATCAAATTATAAATACGCATGTAATTGTCTGAACGAAGATATAGACCAGCCCATACCTTTCGCCGATCATATGACTTCGGCCCCTTCGGACGTATCTTCTTTGTTAAATATTCTTGTTTGAATCTCTATCAATAACACTATTTAGAGTGTTATTTTTCAGCTTGTATCTTTTAATTTGCTTCTTTTATTGTGTTATTCCATTTCTGGTCTGACTTGACGTGAACTAATTTCAAAACGCAGAGTTTCAAAACGTCAAAACATTTGGTTAATGATTAACATTTAACCGAATTTAGCCGTTGATTGACAACTACATAAAAATACTAACCAATCCATTTTTCCCATTCACCAGCGGACGGGTAATTCAAAAACCCCTAGTTTTGCGGCAGATGGTATTTCCTTTGCCTCCCTAATTTTTGCTGCCTGTAGAAATACCGCCTGCCGCACAGGCTATAGGATAATGTACATTATTGCCTCGTCCACGTTTCTTCAAGATTTTCTCAATTTCGTAGACGTCATCTTCCTTGATGATCTTTTGCAGCTCCTTTTCGTAAAATGTTCCTTTGAGTTCTTCACCGTCCAGATCTTTTAGTTTGTACACTGGAGGATCACATGGCATTTGCTTGCTTATTGTAAAAATCTCTTTGGAAAAATTTGGCAAGTATCCTTTTTCAAATGTTCGTTTCATCTTGCTAATTCTCACTTGATCGCCAATCCTGAATTTGTATTTTACATTTTTCACGACGTTAAGGTCATCATACAGAGTGTACCACACTTTCTTCTCGTTCTCAGCAGTAACGTCCACAGGTTTTGTCTTGATGCTATGGTGAACACTATGGTTGTAGGAATAGACCAGATCGGGTAACATGTCTACGTATCACATGGTTTTCTTGGCCGTAAAATAGCGCCACATTTTGGGTTTTAGAGTACGAATCAGACGTTCCACAATAGAAGCTTTCGTTTCATTGTGCATATTGTACAGTTCGATGTCTTCTTCTTTCATCAACGCTCGGAAATGTTTGTTTAGAAACTCGTTCCTTGATCCGTCATGATCTTTTTGGGTTTGCGTCCAGACATTAAAATGACTTTGAAAGCTTCGACCAGTGTAGGACCCGTCTTGTTTTTCAACGGAAAAAACATTGATGCACACAAGTAGATAGCAACATCCATAATTAAACTTCTGCATGGATTGCATATCCGCCAGATCCATTTGCCACTGTTGATCGATCCCACCCATGATAACTCAGTTTCATTTAAAGTGATGATGCATGGGTTTATGCAACGTGTATACATCTTGTTTCATCAGCCATTCCCTAATTTCTTTACGACTTAGCACGAACCTTTCTTCCTTTTTAACGTCTTCATACAAACGTTCCACACCACCAAATCCTCCAGGCTATTTTGGATCGTAATACATGCTAGATAAGTAGTCGTCCATGTTCACACGCAAAATGACAAAATCCTTTCATTCTTCAACGTTTTCAATACTATTCTCCTGGGTCTTTTCAATGGGATTGTAATACTACTATTGTAATATTGTTTTACTACAATACCCCACTTGTACATGCCCCTCGAGATTTAGATCGTTTCTTCCTGTACTTATACCAATTCTAAACATTTTCTGTTTATTATGATTTTTATTGATCTTTGAATTTTTACTGGCAGAGTGTCCCATGGCTACACTCGAATATGAGAAGATTTTTAAAGGTGCACACATATAAAACTTTTTTCCATTGGGAAGAAACAGTCATTACCTTTGATCAGACAAGGAGCAAACATGTCTAAACCTATCGATATTGACAATAGGGAATTCATTCTTTATCACGTCAGAAACTTATCGTCAAGAAACTTTTAAAAGTTTCAGCTGAAGAAATCGCTTCTATCATCTCTCAGCTGGTTGTTAAAAATTGTAACGGATGCATGACAGGACATCTGTCTCAAACGCACCATCAGTGTCTTACGATGGAAAGAGACGAACGGTTATGTCTATACTTTGATCATGCTCTGGAAAAGGCTTCGGAAACAAAAGTGATGGAAGCTTTTATGGAAAGTCTGAGCTATATGAAAGTATATGATTTTGAATTGAGTATACGGTGGACGATTGGAAAACTATCTTTTGCGTGGAGCACAGACAGGTATTGAAACATGTGATCTTTCAGTTATTGTAACCAATAAAAAGGTACGATGCCTCGACAGATTTCATTCATCATTGGACAGCGTCAGGATGACTATTGAAATACTATTCTTCTTTAAAGAAAAGCTTGTGGTTCGTCTCAATATGTGTTTATCTAGTTTGGGCGATAAACTATTAGATGAAGTGACCAATGAAGAGTTTTAATTAGAAATAGTGCTTTCGTTAAAGAAAATAAATAGTCTTTCTTTGAGAATTAGGCAGAAGAATTTTCCGAGACAACTTGTTATACTTATTCCTTGATAGTTATTACAATCGAAAAGGTCACCAGACTTAAAGATGCGGTACAGTCTCTATGTAAACAAAGGCTTTGTTTACATTTTGGTATCCAAAATATTGAATTTTATTCGACAACTATTTACATTTTCATGATTCTAGAGTATAATAAAATATCAAGGCACAACAATCAAGCTCTGCAAGAACATAGAATGAAATAAAAACCTAAATAAACTGTTTGTAAATAAAATGAGGGCTCCTTTGTGCACATTTGCAGATCGGACTGTACCACATCTTTAAAAATTGGCGTTATCAAACCTTGACACCATTGGCTAGGAAAATATCCAACTTCAAGTATCAGATTAAAAAGTTTTACAAAACCTTGCAGTAAGATATTTGTACTACATTTTATCATTTCATTTTTAATTCGGTCTGAAAAAGCAGATTTATTTTTCTTAAGTTTTTTGGCAGCGTTTTTTATTTCCATGTCCGTTATTAAGTTGTCTAGATTTGAAAGGTGATGCCTATTTTGTTCTTCAATATTAAGCGATGTAATGATATTATTTTGAGATTCATTTAATTTGTGTCTGGAGTGCAATGTTTGAAAGTATGACAACCATTGCTCTTCAGATATAACATTTGAACCCGAACTATTTGGAGTTTCATCATCTATAGTTTTGAGTATTTTCCAAAACGAGTTAGGATCATTTTGGGTGGCGTCTTCAAGATCTACGAGTTTTTCAGACTGAAATTTCTCTAATTTTAAAATGTTTTTATAAACTTTCAATTCATTGTAGTACTTAATTCAAGGTTTTCGTTGATTGGATCCCTATGTTTTTGGTTAGCTAATTTTCTTAGTTTGTGTCTTTTCAGAAGACTTTCTTTGTCAAACCATTTTTTATTACTTACATTGGTAACTTTTTTCCCCTTTTTATTTTAAGGCTTTTATTTCTGGCTTCTACTAAAATGTCTTGAAATTCATTTAAGCATTGAGTAATTCCAGTATCACTTCTGGGGTGATCAGTGTTCATAAAATTTTGAAATTTCCTTTGTATGTTGGGTGTTCTAAGTTGATCAGTAAATGTTCTATTAGAAATATTTTCCCATATAAATTGAGGCAGTAACTTATTTGAGAAATTAGGATTCAGTGTGCTATTTGAAAAAAGATCTGTGTCATTTTTAATATTTAGTCAGGTAGTGATCTGGCTATGGTCTGAAAGGTAACTAGGCTCCTGGACTGGCTGGACAACAAGGAATTTGATGGTGTTGATTAATTCAGTATTACAAATGGCATAATCTAAGGTACTAGTACCATATTTGTTGTGAAAAGTAGGTTTTCCTAATGAGTCTCCCTTAATTCTACCATTAAGGATTCTGAGGTTACAATTTTTACAGATTTCAATAAGGCGTTTGCCATGATTATTAATTTTGTTGTCAAAATTTTCTCTTAATGATTTATGATATATGTCTGGGCTAAGATTTTTTATATATTTATTTCTGTCTGGTTCGATAAAATCTAAGTTTTCCAGTTCTCTCATTAAAATCACCAATGAGCAATACATCCCCTTTACCGGAGAATGTGATTGTATCTTCTCGAAGCTTATCAAATAGTTCAGGTTCAAAATATTTAGAAGTTTCTGGTGGTATATATAGACCACAGAGGTAAAGGTCATTATTTGATTTAGATATTTCTCTAGAAATTTTGCACCAAATAAAGTTTTGTGAATTTTTGATAACAGAAATATGTTTTTCTAGTTTTTAATTAAATAATAAAGTTATGCCTCCAGATAATCTACTCATCTGGCACACTTTCGCCGTTTTAATACTATTTATTGTTCCATATCCTGGTAAGTTTAAATTTGTTTGGGACCAGGTTTCGGTTAATAATATAAGATCATTTGATTTTATACTATTAACAAAATCTATATTTTTTATTTGTCACCAATCACCTTATGAAAAAGGCCATTGATGTTCCACGTAGCAGTCGATAAATCTGACCGCATTCTATAATTTTCTCGGACTAATATAAAAAAATTAATGTGATTTGAAAGGAGTACTTAAGTAGTAAAATTTTGGAAATTTTATGTTACAATAGACTATACACTAAAGTATAATATAAGATCAGTATGTTAAACATAGTTTCAAAATGATCTTGAATTATTGGTAGGATAGTAAGATTTACTATGACACATACCCATACATTAGTTTGATGAGTTGAACCAGGTGAGGTGGTAAACCTGTGTTGACTGGTGTTGTATATGGATTTTTCTTGGGGGTTGATGAACTTTGGTTGGGTTAGCTGGAATGGGTGGTATATTAGCTTCAGGGAGGTTGATTGCTTGATTTGAGAAGTGGGTGGGTGGGATATTAGGTGGTGTTGTGGAGTAGTTGGTTGGTAAAAGGAATGGTGGTGGAATAAATCCAGGGATGGCGTTAAAGGCGGGTGGGTTAAAATATGGAGGTTCGAAGTTGCTAGTTGATGGAATAAAACCAGGTGGCAATCCAACATTCATAAGTGGTGTGGATTTGTGTTGTTCATTTGTCGCTGGTGCCTGATGAGGGTTATCCTGAACCCAGGTGGGCTTGGGAGAATCTTGGCTTACTTTGTTATTTTGACCATCACGACTAGGGGTTGATTGCTTATCATTTGTCTTGCGTATACCGGTTGAGTCACCATTTACTTGGAAGAAGGAAGCTTTGAGGTTTTTAGTGAAAACTCTGATTCCAAACTCATTTAATTGTTTTCTATCATAAAAATGTTGGTAAGAAGCAAAGACACCACTGTGGTTTACGTGAAGCACATTTTATTTGTGCATTTTTCTTTAATTTTCTGGTTTAACAAAATACAGGGTTGCTGGTTGTCCATTCTAGGAAGTAATGAAGACAGGATAATTTAACATTCAGGATATTTGACCTTGATTTGATCAATAACCTTTAATGTGTCTGAACATATTTTGGAATTGTCAATGTTATGATCCAAATCATTCGTGCCACAGTGGAAAATCAAGGTTTTTGGATTAGTGAAAACACTAGTGCTGATGATCTCTTCAGCATGCTTAAGTGTTGGACATCTAATGTATGAATACAGTGATTTAGGGCAGAGGCGTTTAATGTTTAAAAGTCGGCCGTTTGAATCGCACATTACAATTGTTTCGCCATTATATGTTTTTACAGTAGGAATTGAATAATCATTGTCCAGTGCTTGGTGATCAGGGTATCGAGAGCTTACTTCTGTTGGGTCAGCAGCACTGGCTTCATCATTGGAAGGTGAGAATTGATTTTTTGTTGGAACAGAAAAAGATAACTTTCCTTGTGATGAGGGTTCAGGTGATTTTGGTTGTCTATTAGTTGTAACAGATCTTGCTTCATTACTTGAAGGATGATCAGGGTATTCGTTGGGTTCTGGGTTTTCATCCTGGTCTTGAATCTGTGTGTGAGGTTCTGAACTACTAGGGACATTGTGGAATCGAAGGGTATTGAACTTTAGCTTCAAGCTTTGAATTTGTTGTTGTTGGTTTTTTATTGTATGCTTAAGTTTATTAATTTCTTCTTGTTGCTCATGCTGCTTTAAACTTAAGTCACTTATTGTTTGTTTCCTGACAATATCATTTGAACGTGCCTGACTAATTTTATCATTTAGCAGTACAATTTGGTTGTCTTTTTGTTCTAGTGTCTCCATGACATCTTCTAAGGATTTCAAAATTTCTTGTTTGAAATTAACCATATCAGATTCTAAGGTGGCTGCCTGGGTCTTGATCATGGAGAAGAATCTTTCACATGGAGTGTTAGCTTCATTTTGAGTTGCTGATTGAACTGGTGTGTTTGGGCTAACAACTTTCTCAGAGGTTTGGGATTTGCTTGACTTATTTCTCTCTTGCTTGATGATCTCACTCTCTCGTTTTGCTTTATCAAGGAATTGATCTAATTTTTCGTTGAATTTTGCTGTTTAAGTTCATCAGTGGAGTTAATCATATTCATAAAGCCTAGTTCTCATTCATCGCAAACTGTCACCGACGATCGGCGACGCTTATCGCCGATACTCGCCAAGCGCGAATGCACGAAAGTTCTCATACATCGGTGATCGTCGCAGATGACAGCCGATGTGTTTCAAAATTTCCCAAATTTCCTACAAAATGGCCCCATTCAACGTAAAGTTCATTATTTCTGTCAAACTTCAATTGATTATTTCCTTGCTTGTAGAGAAAAAAACAACTTTTACTCATTTCTCATAGATTTTTCAAGCAGGTGGCAGTCGGCGATGGTCGCAAGAAACAAACTTTTTTGTTTCCTGCGATGTCATTGCCGATGGTCGGCGACGATTATGGACAATCGGCGATATAATTTTTGACGTGTTCTCATAAATGGCAAGCGGTCGCCGACGTCGCAAAGCTCCTATCGCCGACGGTTTGCGATGAATGAGAACTAGGCTTAAGGATATCAAATTCAATGTTTCCCCATGATTTCAAGGGTTTCCCCTGAATTTGTATTCTGCCAGTAGAGATGGAAATGGTTATTGTAATTAAATTGTCAATTGAGTTGTTTGTAGAGTGGGTGAGAGATATTTGAATTTTATCACATTCCGAGGCATCCCATCGAACATTAAATAAGGGGTTTTCGTTTAGGCTCAGGTAATAACGGAAATAAAATGCTTTAATCCACTTGACCAACCTTTCCTGTGAGGTTGAAAATGCAATCATATCTGCACACGCTTTGTAAAGATTATAATCTAACATTTCATAAGGGGCTTGTTGCTTTCTTGATTTTTTGAAATCGGAGATTAGGCGATATCGGAAAAATTAGCTGTCGGGTTCCATCGCTGTTGTTGTTGGAGCACATGGTTCATCAAGCTTGACAGATTTTTCTTCTTCAAGCGTATCCTCATCCATAATTATTCTCGTAACAACTTTTGCGGGATGTTTAGGTGTTCATATAAACATAAATAAACTTACAAAGTACTCCTTTTATCACAAAAAATTTAATATTTTACCCTCGAAAAAGAAGTGTCTGCTATCTTGCAAAGGGGGAAAGGGAATAATACATGTAATGACAAAATTACATGAATGAATGCAAAATTAATATTTATGAATGCAATATTACATGTAATGACAATGACAATTACACAATGACAATTAGACAATGACAATTTTACCTTTCAGACACATATTTGAATTTGTGACAGTGTTTGTGTTTTGGGCTTTCTCCTGTTGCAATTCCTTTCCCTGCACATATATTTGATTAGCAGTAGGATCAACCAAGTTATCTTGCTGACCATTTCTAACATAGTTATTGATTCTACAGATAAGAAAACAAATTTTATAGATGTTGTGCTTCTTGAATAAAAATAGACTAAGCAAAACTCAAATTTATACATTACCATGAACTTTTGAATACAAGGCAAGCTTTAGTATGTAGATTTTTTAATGAATCTCCACGACAAGCCAAAATTTTAATTGATCCACACAATATGAAGTCAGGTGAGACAAGTCTAAGTTACTGCCAGGAATATCGTCTAAAAGAAGGCATCTGCTCTCATTCCCTACACATTTAAAAAAGATATTAAAAATGTTGTGTAAAAGGCAAATAAACAGATATTATTATTATGGGTATCATGTGAAACCAGGCATGTTGTTTAGGCCTTGGCCTTTCGGCTTCAAATTTTCCTTGTTGCCAACGTCTGTATAAAAAACGAAAATAAACCAACAAATCCATGAGATATTTCATCTGTATCACACAAACTAAGATTTCCTTTTATATTTAAATTGTTGCAATAAAAATATTGCCATTTTTGTAAAGTAAATTGCGATGTAAAATAGTTTTTAAAACAGATCAAGAATGGCGGTGAAAAGACTGTGACCTTTGTAATTATGTTGCAAAAAAGTAAATATTTACACCGGAAATTGAGTTTAACTATAGTGCGAGGCAGCGAGGCATGATCTGCGAGGCATGATGCGAGGCAGCGAGGCATGATGCGAGGCATGGTGAAAATCATAACTAACATGTTTAAAGTGCCTACGAAGCCCAAAATTTAATGAAAAAATACACGGACAAATGTACGAGTTACAAGGCATTGTGCAGAAGCAACTTAATTTCGGACAGAAAAAGAACGTGTGTATTATCCAGTTACGCAGTATGCCGGTTCTTTACGGACCTTCGGTCATTGTCTGTACGTCTCCCGAACGCAAAGTTTTTTAACATGTAGCACATTTTGCATCTCGATTTGAATGGCGTACGTTTACAAGGTAGCGTTGTTCATCTTTGGATGTGGGCAGTTGTGCTAGTGGAACTTTGTCAGGGAATGCCTGTACAATTTTTGACCATTCATTGGTTGAAAAATGCTTCTTATAAATTAATGCTTCTGTTTTGTTGAAGTCAAAAATCTTATATAAGATCCAAGTCCGATGATGGCACATGTCAGTACATAATACAGGTGAGGAGCAAGTGACGGAGTGTCCTTAGAAATTTTTAAATCCTGTATGTATCCCATTGTATCAAGCAGTTTGAAGTTAAATTGAGATACATGGCTTTTAAGGTCGACAATATTCATTGTGACACCCTTGACGTATTTCCTCGAAAACTTTCAACCTTGTTTTGCTTACAGAATTATTCCTGCTTTTTACAGAATATACAATAGAATATACTGTAGAATTCAGAAAGTACCGGTTTGGCCTGAAGATAAGTTAACTAAAGTTCCACCGCCTAAGGCTGTAATGTATTTTTTCCATTCTCATTAAATTTTGGGTTTCGTAGGCACTTTAAACGTGTTAGTTATTTTCACCATGCCTCGCTGCCTCGCATCATGCCTCGCAGTTTGTGCCACCCCCCGGAAATTGGGCAATTTTGTGCTGGAAATTGGGTTTAAATGGACACACATGTTTCAAAGAAACTAAGGTGGAGAAAAACGGAGATAAATGTTATAAAAAATTATTTTGCAAAAAATGTTTTGCTTACCTGAGTTTGCTTCGATGTTTTCCATGATATTTCTACCGACCTGCGCCATCAAAATGATTAAAAACACCCCACGAAAATATTTAAATTTAAGAGAAAACTACCTGTGCTAATAACTATGATAATAATTTATTTGACTAAGCTAAAAAAGTATCCGGAAACTTGTTAAAACAAGAGAAAAACACTGTAAAACTCAGCGACTCACTTTTTGACTTTTGGACAAAGCGAACAATGGATTTATTGTTTTTGCATAATAAGCCTCATTTTCATGTTATGCAAAGGCACGGTTACTAAGTTTTGAAATTGGTCTATAGAACATTTTTGTAAGGAAATTGTCCCAAATCACATTTGCATACTCCATAATTGGTTTTATCAAACTTTTGTATAGACAAGCAAGTGTTGGTCTCAATTTTATAACGTTTTTAACGTATATAGGTGGCAGTTGACCCTAAATTGTCTCGAACCATAAAATTGCCATAGTTTTTATAATATTTAATTGATTGGCACAAAATTTGGCACAATCTTAGTACAGGTAAAATTCTGAAATATTTGATGTGGCTGAAGGCATCGCACACTTTTTAGTTACCATGGTAATGAAAAATAAACCCATCATCAAGAGGAATTTGTGGAAGCAGTATCTCAAAAGGGAAAATAGTTACAAAGCCCAAACTTTCTGATGTTACTTCATACTTCATAAGATGTGCAACCATTATTTGATCAAAACGCACAGTCCGAGCAACAAAAAAACACTGTTTCTATGGTAACAAAGGAAGTATCGCATTTTTTGAATCTACTGATTGCATAAAGCTACTTTAAACCTACATACTGTCCAAAAATCAGGTAATTCCATTTAATTCTCTTCTGTTTATCCTTTCCACAAATTCAAAACAGTACTAGAAATACATGCATGCAGTAACCCCTCGCCAATATTTTCCAAAAATGAAGTATTCAGAAATGGCCCACTGAATGCAGGCTCACGCTCAAGTGTTGCCATGACAACACAATATTTTTAATTTTTTCATATTTTTTGTACAAAACTGCAAAATAGTTGAAAGATTCGTACTTTTAACTATACAACAATAAATTTCTGTAGGTATATTATTTTGCATTTTGTCAGCTTTGATTTTATGTAAAATTTAACTTGAAACGCTTTGTAAAATGTTTTGAAATGTTCATTCAACTATAGTTCATTTGCTGATAAACTAATAATAAAACATAATAAGTTACAAATAAAACAAATTGTTAGGTAATTTCAGTTCAGTCTTCAAATCAATTTGTTCTCCTTTACATTTTAAGATTCATAGTTTTCTCAAATTAAACGGTAATTTATGAAATTTAGAGCTTCGTTGAAAAGGAAAACAGTTATGTTTTTAGGCAAAAAGTATAAAGCAACAAAATTCATAAACATACTAAACATTAAATATTCAAAGCAAACTTGCTGTATATTTCACTATTTCCCATAGTAAATCAATTCTTTTCATTTCTTCAAACAAAATTGCTTCAAGCTTGTTGTGTATGAAACGATTTTCCAAATATATGTCTTTTAAAATTGAAATCTTGCTCATCCCACTCCTACAAGCAATCAGCCATATTTTTGAGATCAGTGAGGATGACCACCCACTCAACATCGTTGGTGACTGACGCTTGCACTCATTGATGAACTTTAGACATGGCTAATGCTTTTGTTTCCCTGCGTGTAAATAGCCGGGAGAATTAGTACCCTTGCCCCAGGCTTATGCCCGGAAAGGCACTCTGCGCCGTTGGCTCGTGAATAACGTGAAAGTTTTGAGAAAATGGAGGTTAAACATTTGAATCAATTTCAACCCGATTAAAAGGAACTATTAGGATAAAGTCAACTATAATGTCAAATACTCACAATTCTTAACAATCAGTGGCGTAGCTAGCGGTCCCTGCTTGTCCTGCCCAGCAGGACTAAAAATTTCCTTACTAAAACATTGCTTTATTTATCTTGAAGCTTTAAAAACTTATCATCAGTTGTTACGTGAAGTCAACCATGACGAGCGGACGTGCTTGTTGCTGCTCCCAAATTTTTGGGCTTTTAATACTGTTGGTTATCTGTATTTTACAAAATGTCGAATACAGCGACTACTGTAACCTTATTGACCATCCTGGCTTGGTTAACATATCATTTCATCAAACGGGAAAGGAATTAAGGAACTCTAAGTTACTGCCATATAATCAAAATCGCATGTTTACTACAACCAAGGTCAAAAGATCGAACTTCAACTTTTAGACCGATCCTGCAGCTTCTCCATGACATCGAGCTTAATCCAGAACCTAACAATTACTCGACTAGCGATTCAAGAACGACTAAGATTAATGTAAAGATTGCACATCTCAATGTACGGTCATTAAAATGCAGAGAACATTATGTGCTTGTAAAAGAAACCATCCTCACTAATAAGTTCGATATATTTACAATATCAGAAACATGGCTTGATAATTCTGTTACAGACGTTGAATTCGAAGTCCCTGGCTACAAACTTTACCGAGTGGATCGAGAAAACAAAAAAGGCGGTGGTATATGTGTATATGTATTGCAAAACTACGAAAGTGTGTTACTAAAGCGAAATCTCGTATATATCTCCCACGGGACTCCATGAACTTTGGCTAAGAATTCAGATTAGAAACTTAAAATCCATTGTGGTTTGCACGGTGTATAGACCTCCTGATGCCTCCATGTCTTGTCTAGACTCAGATCTAATTACAAGTTACATTTCAGCTTTAACGCTTTCCCATCCAATATACGTACTGGGGAACCTAAACTGCAATCTTATGAAAACTGACAACCGTGACGCCAAAGCTCTTAATACGTTCTGCCATTCTTACAATTTAACTCAACTTATCAACTCACCAACCCAAGTTACTGAAGGTTCTAAATCGCTATTAGACGTGATTATTGTTTCTGAGACAAAACAAGTCCAAAAAGCAGGAGTTATGGAAAGTTCAATTAGTGACCATGATTTAGTTTATGTTGCACTTTGCCTCAAAAAGGCATGCACAAAACCTGTTTTTATTACAACAAAGAACACAAAATAAGATCTGAAATCAGACTGGCTGAGCGTGAATTTATAAAGGATCAAATTAACAAGAATCCAAATAACACCAACAACATCTGGAAAGCTATTCGCCTTTGTATCCCTAACAAGTCATCCTCTCAAATGATCTTTAGTAAAGATGACAAAACTGTAGCGAATGATTTCAACCAGTTTTTTGTTTCTGTTGGTCAAAACACAGTTGAGGACAAATGAATGTGGTTATCGACGCGATGTATCCTTTATTCCGAGACAATACCCATTGTCAGAACAGTTTTCATTTAGAACTACTGACAGTGAAGAAATTAGTCAAATTATAAGCTCAATGTCTTCCAATAAAGCCCCAAGAATTGATCAAATTCGCGTAATAAGAGACTGTCTGACATCTATACTGCCTACACTTACATCTATTGTTAATTCCTCACTAGCTACTTCTACCTTTCCCACTGTTTGGAAAATAGCAGAAGTAACACCCATTCCTAAAGATGGAAATCATGAACAAGCGATCAACAATAGACCTATTTCATTATTACATGTATTGTCGAAAGTCTGCAAACGAGCTGCCTATAATCAGCTTTCTTCCTATTTATTAGAAAAGGAAAGATTAACGCAACACCAGAGTGGAAATAAGAAATGGCACTCCACCAAAACTTCTGTTATTCAAACTACAGATGCCATCCTCAATGCCATAGACAAAAAGAAGCTTACTGCTACAGTCTTTTTGGACATGAGCAAGGCGTTCGACAGCATTGATCATGAATTATTAATATCTAAATTGGAAGATATTGGAGTCTCCAATATGACACTTCTTTGGTTTCGCAGTTATCTTTCAAACAGAAAACAAGTTGTAAAGATCCACTCAACTAAATCAGAACTTCTTCCTGTGGTCAGTGGTGTACCCCAGGGAAGCATTCTCGGCCCTCTTTTGTTTACCATATATGTTAATGACTTGCCATCCATTCCAGAGAAATGTAAATCTAACAGTTATGTGGATGACACAAAACTTAGCGTTTCCTTCCATCTACAAAACAAGCAAGGTGCCATTGAAGATATGAATGAGGATCTTTTGAAAGTGCGAAACTGGTGTTTCAACAACCTTCTCTTATTAAATCCAAAAAAGACAAAGCTCATGGTTTTTGGAAGTAGACACAAATTAGCGGACCTAAATGAGTTTAGCCTGTCCCTACTTGGGAAAAATATATTCCCTTCCGAAACAGTGAAAGATCTAGGAGTTACTCTTGACCTTCTCCTTTCTTATGACGAACACGTAACTAAGACGATCTCTTCGTGTATGTCCCGCCTCGGTCAGATAAATTGTGTTAAACATGTACTGGACAGGCAAACACTTATCACTGTAATAAACGCTCTTGTCTTCAGCAAGTTATTTTACTGTTCGAATGTTTGGGCCAATACAACTGGCAAAAACATAAACAAATTACAATCTGTACAGAACTTTGCCTGTCGTATCATTAGCAGAGCATGAAAGTATGATCATGTTACACCACTTTTAAAAGAATTAATATGGCTTCCTGTGGCAACTCAGTTGTACTATCGTAGCAGCACTATGGCTTTTAAGTGCATGACGGGCTGTGTCCCAGCTTATATTTCATCCCAATTTATAAAGCGTCAGGAAGTATCTAACCATCATACTAGGAATTCACAACAACTTAATATTCCGTTATTTAAAACGGCAACAGGTCAACGGACATTTTATTATAAGATTGTTAGTCTATGGAATTCTTTAGACTCTTCTTTAAAACTTTGTGAATCAGTTGATTCTTTTAAACGTCGTTTGAAGACAAAGTTATTGCATGAGTTTTTGAGCAACTAGGTTCTTACACATATATCATAGGCTTGTAATTGTATTATTAATATTATATAGTTATTATAAATTAGTTATTCTGCATGTAATTAGGTAATTGTCTTTGAAAAGCCTCTATGGGGAAAGATAATAAAGTATCAATCAGTTATTTTGTCTCATTTTCTCGTCTTTTTCGTTATTAATTTTTAAAAGGTTTTTCGCATTCTGTTATATTTACACAATTTTATAGCTTGCCGTGTCTGTTACCTAGCAACTGCAACTCTACCATTGATTTACACGCGACTCGTATTTCTAGCTAGTACATTTCATAGTAAATTCATACAAGAAATCTTGGTTTCTGATTGGATAATTAGGTCTGCGCATGCTTAAAGTGCCTATGTCATAGTTTGGGAATCAGCCTATTTAGATAGTTTAGATGATTTTAAGAACTTTTGCAATATATTTTATAATTCGAAAATTTGATCTTCATGGACTTTCGGGGGCTCAAAGTTGGCGATTTTGCCTATTTTGAGCGTTTGGCCGCCAGCATAAAAGTACTGGGGCGAGAATGCCGGCGTGACGTCAAACCGGGAAGTCATCAAAACAAAATACATATGATTTACTGTAGTTTCTTGACAAAATCGAGTATAAATTAGATGTTTCTGGAAATTTCTTCGATATTTCGATTGAAATTTAAATGGAATTATATCCTTAACCTTTGGTTATCCAACTGACAGGCAGATTGGGCGAGATACTAACTTTATGGCTGAGAGTGCAGGTCAAACACATATACGCTGTTGCTATATATTCTATCTCGGTTTCTTGATTTATATACAGAAATATCGAGACAAAACGGCAAAGAACTGTAGGCTGTTGTTAAACCTGATCCAGTGGAATATATTCGCTTTGCCCTCGGTTTTGTCAATGCCAGCCAGAATGGCGGAAATTATTGTGAACAAAACGCCTCGTCCACTGATCAATACAGAGTCAGAGGCGTTGGTTTGCTTGAATTTGGACGTCATGATGTGTCGTATAAAATTGGCGAGAAGGTGATTAAATACGGTTTTTATGTGATTTAAAACTAAAAGAGAAACTCCAAAGGCAAAGTGAACTTGTTCTATTGTTACTGATAGGTATGCAAGAGAAAATTGATCTTTGAATGAAGTCGCG